CAGTGTACCAAAAAGAATTGGTTGATGTTCATCCATTTCAGGAGGGAAGATATTATCAAGAACCAGTGGTATTGAAGGAAGAAGTCGAAGCTGCACTGAAGGAACTGGTGAAAAACAAGGCTCCAGGAATTGATGGAATACCCATTGAAATATTTCAACCAAGGGATGCTGCGCTGGAGGCACTCACATGACTATGCCAAAAGATTTGAAGACAGCTACTTGGCCAACTGACTGAGATGGATATTTGTACCCATTCCAAAGAGAGGTGATCTCACAGAATGTGAACATTATTGAACAATATTGTTAATATCATACTCAAGTAAAATCTTGCTGAGGATAATTCAAAAATGGTTGCAGCAGTATATTGATAGAGAACTTCCAGAAATGCAAGCTGGATTCAGAAGAGGATGTGGATTGAGGGATATCATTGCTGATGTCAGATGCATCCTGGCTGAAATACCAGAAAGATATTTACTTGTATTTTATTGACTATCCAAAAGCATTTGATTGCGTGGATCATAACAAATTATGGGTAACATTGAGAAGAATGGGAATTCCAGAACACTTAATTGTGCTCATAAAAAACCTGTACACAGAGCAGGAGATTGCCATTTGAACAGAACAAGGGGATACTGCATGGTTTAAAATCAGGAAGGGAGTGCATCAAGGTTGTGTCCTTTCACTGTACTTACTCTATCTGTATACTGAGCAAGTAATCCAAGAAGCCGGACTATATAAGAGGAACGTGGCATCAGGATCAGAGGAAGAATCATTAACAACCTACAATATGCGGATGACACAACTTTGCTTGCTGAAAGTGAGGATGATTTGAAGCACTTACTGGTGAAGCTTAAAGACTCCAGTCTGCAGTATGGATTTATATGTCAACATAGAGAAAACAGAAATCCTCACCACTGGACCAATAAGCAGTATCGCAATAAATAGAAAAAAAAAATTGAAGTTGTCAAGAATTTCATATTACTTTGTTCCACAATCAATACCAAAGGAAGCAGCAGTCAAGACATCAGATGATGTATTGCACTGGGCAAATCTGCTGCAAAAGACTGTTTTAAACTGCTTAAGAGCAGAGATGTCTCTTTGATGACTAAGGTGCACCTGACCCAAGCCATGGTATTTTCAGTTGCCTCGTATGCATATGAAAGCTGCACAGTGAATAAGGAAGACTGAAGAAGAGTTTATCCTTTTGTGTTGTGGTTTGGTGAAGAGTCCTGAAGGTAGCATGCACTCCCAAAAGAACTAACTAATCTGTCCTGGAAGAAGTGCAGCCAGAATGCTCCTTGGAAGTGAGAATGGCCCGACTTCATCTTACTTTCTCTGGTCATGTCAGAAGGGACCATTCCTTGGAAAAGGATATCATGCTTGGTAAAGTGGAGGTTCAGCAATAAAGTAGAAGGCCCTCAACAGGATGGATTGACTGAGCCACTGCAGTGATGGGTTCAGGTATAGCAAGGATTGTAAAGCTGGCACGGGACTGGGCAGTGTTTTGTTCTGTTGTACGTATGGTTGCTGTGGGTCGGAGCCAACTTGACACCACCTAACAACAACAATTACATTGAATTGCATATGTGGACTGATGAGATTTGAAAAATGCTCTTGGAGTCTTTGCTTTTCCTTTGAGAGCCTGAGAAGTATGTGATCATTATAGTATGTAGCACAGTCCCACTGATTAGTGAGCTATTATTTGCATTTATGTAGGTGACAGATGACAGTTATAATGTGTTTTACTCTTCTTGGATGGTGATTTGATTATGCTTGCTGAAAGTGTTTATTATGTTGAAGTAAAAAGTGTTGCCTTAGATCCACATCCATTACTGGAATAAGCAGAATAATTATCCAGCAGTTATTCCTTGTAGCCAGGGCTTTGCCATCTTATATTCTCTCTACAAAGCTTTGCTTGAGATCAAGGCCTGTACCTTAGTCATTGTCTGTACCCTACACCCCTATTTTGTTATGTTGATAGATAGGTAACTGCTGTCAAGTTGACCCCAGCTTGTGGTGACCTTAGATACAACAGAATGAAATGTTGCCTGGTCTCATGTCATCGTCACAATTGCTAACATGTTCTAGTCTATTGTTGTGGCTATTATGCCAATCCATCTTACTAAGGATCTCCTTAGCCCTTCCTCCCTGGCTCACTACTTCACCAAACATGATGTCCTCTAATTATTGATCCCTCTTGATGACACGTCCAAAGCAAGCTAGTCAGAAAGTGATCTGTTACGATGCCTAAAGTTTCTGCTGGCAAATTTTTGGAGGTAGATTGTCTGGCCTTTCTTTCTAGTCTGTCTAGTCTGGAAGCTCCTCTGAAATCTGTCCACTGTGGATGACCCTTCTGGTATGTGAGGTCCT